GACTGACATAATACAAATTAAAAAAAATATGTATGGTATTTATAATAATAACAATATTAGTTTCTTTTTTAAAACAAAAAGTTCTATGATATATGCTGTTTACTATTTTGCTTTTTTGATTAAACTGTTTATATTATACATATTTCCATGAAGTAATTTTTTAATGTTCTATAGATTCCTTGTGGTGTGTACATTCTATAGTTAACCAATCTCCTGTTGTTGACCATTTGGTGTAATTTCCTAACCAGAAAGAGATTATATTTTTGATTATTTGTTCTCTTTATAAAGCCCCAAAGTTAATAAGCAGTGATATTAAGTAATCATAATCAGGTATACCACCATAACAGTAAATATGTACATTTATATGGAAGCTCAGTCAAATTTAATCTTAAACTAAAAAATAAAATTAAACTTAATTTAACTTAAATTAAACTTAACTTAATTAAACTTAAAATAAAATTTTCCTCACTACCATCTTTTCCAAATGTCTTTCTCAGTTTTCTTTCTTTCTCCTCCTCCTTTTTTTTTTTTTTTAAGAGGAAGGAGCAGAGGGAGAGGGAAAGAGAATCTTAAGCAGGCTCCATGCCCAGTGCGGAGCCCGACTCAGGGCTCAATTCCCACAACCCTGAGATCATGACCTGAGCTGAAACCAAGAGTTGGACACTCAACCGAGCCACCCAGGCACCCCTTCTTTCTCCTCAATAACAAGTATATTCATAGCTCATAATTATATTCTTATAAGTGTATTTAAATATATGTTAAGAAGGAAGGTTAACTATTTAACTCTTTAATAGTGAAAATGAACTGCCTTAATTCTTCTCTGAAATAGTTTGTATAAAACTAATTTAAAAACAAAATAGAGTAAATGCCACAATTCAGGGAATATTTAAAAAACATATAAACCTACATATTATTTAATCATTTATGTTTTCCTTACAGATAATACAATTTAATGTTAGTATGTTTAACTGGACTTTTTTATCATTCTGTAGCTTTTAATTGTTTTTGTCTTTGGAATAATATGATTGTTTCCTTTAAGATTTTTCTCTTACTAATTGTTTAATTTTGTGTTTGTTTGCTAGACCTCAGCAGTTTACATTTCAAGATTCAAATAATTCTGTAGATTCATCAGCTTCTGATAGTGACCCTATGAGACAGAGATTTTCTATAAAAGCACACTCACGGTTACCCTACCTCATTATTTCTGATGGATACATGGTCACAACCCTTCGATTTGTTGATAACCTGTCACCATCAGTGCTCATGAGATCACTTCTACTTGATTCAACCCAGAGGCTTGAGAAAACATACCAAAGTATGATATTGTCTAAGGTAATAGTGCTTTTTGGTATCATTGGTAAAAGTTGGCTTCTTAGTTTTCTCAGGTTTAAAACCGTCCTGACGGTAATATCCTTGGATTGTATACGGTTGTCTATAGAATTTTTAACTGTTGTGATAGAATTACAGATAAAATTTTACTCTTGGAAATCTTTTATCTTCAACAGCCAAAAGGCAAAGGGCTGAACTTGCGATCACTGGATTCCCTGAGATGTAGCCTGTTAAAACACCAAGGAAATAAAAGTTTAGCTGATTCTACTGTCCCCAGATTCTTACAGGCAGAAGAAACAATGAAGTTAAATGAAAAAACAACAGATTTCCAGGTACTTAGTAGCAGTGTTTTTTGTTTATTTGAACAGTTAACATACTGACTTTATTCCAAGAAACATATTTTGTTTTTTTCTTGTTAAGGGGGAGAAGTTTGAGAACACCAGTGATTTTACTTAATAAGGTATTAAATAACATTAAGTATAATTCTTTTCACTCATGTTTTAGGATTTTGAAGCAGAAGAAACTAATGAAGGCAAACACTTTCCAGACAACTTATTCTCACTTTGGAACCAAAAAAATGATCCATTGTTCAGTAGTGTCAAGGAGGGAAGATTGGAATTTGCGTCTATGTTTGATACAATACATGCAAAGGATAATATCAAGGAGACAGATAAAACCGTTACAGAACTGCATTCTGTTCAGAAAAATCTCCTTGCAGCATGGGCTATCGGAATTTCAAAAAATGTGACAGAAAAAAATGTAATGTTAAATTACACAGTTGTTTGTATCACTCATTTTTTCTACATTCTTCAATTTATAAAATGTCCTTTCCCCAAACTAGATCCTTTTTTAAGCAAGAGCACAAGACAGAATGCATGGGTACTTTGTATCTTTCAACTTTTTCATCAGTGTTTATCAATGCAGTATTGGGATATGAGATACAAACAAGATGTGGGACATTTGGTAAAGCTGACCTCAAATACTATAAAGCTTTTGCTGACTCAGCAACAACAGGGTCAGTTATTTTCAGAGAAGCTTTTGGCTTGTTTTCATTTACTTAAAATGGTAGCTGATAATTTAAATGGCATATACATTCTTCAGCCTGAAGTTACTTCAGCATCTGTTGATGGAAGTAGAACAGCAGATCAAGACAAATTGGTGGTACCCATTTTTCAAATGTTTCAATATAGTGATTCTCAGGAAAACTGGTCTTGGGACTCATCTTTCAAGATTCGTCCTCAAGTAGTAAATCTTGCTCAGCGACCAGGACACAGGTATATTTACTTTATATCAGGATACCATCAACATTATAGATGTTTTCCTTTTTGAAAAATTGAGATAATAATTCCCATACTGTAAAATTCACCATTTTAAAGTATGAAATTCAGTGATTTTTAACATAGTCACAAGGATGTAGAATTATTAGCATATTTCCAGCATGCTTTTTTTTTTTTTTAAGATTTTATTCATTTATTTGAGGGGGAGGAAAGGGGAAAGAATCCCAAGCAGACTCCTCGCTGAGCCTGATGGAGGGCTTGATCCTATGACCCAGAGGCCATGACCTGAGCAGAAACCAAAAGTTGGGTATCCAACTGACTGAGCCACTCAGGCGCCCCTCCAGAATATTTTTATAATCCCAAAAAGAAACCCTGTATCCATTACCAGTCAGCATTAATAGATTTTTATATTAATTTTTTAAATATTTTAGGATTTATGCCAAATTTTATTCAACACACATATTTTATTAGCCTTGGGCAGCCATGATACATGCTGAAGTATTGAATGATTTTGGTTTAGGTGAGCACTACAGAAAAATAACCATGAAGATTTAAAAAATGTATTATGCGTTTTTTGATCAGTGGACTTTGCTATATTTAAATCTGATCAGTTTGTATATATATTATTTTATCAATGAAGAATATAGGCAAAAATAATAAGGCTGAGTAGAAGGCTGTACTCATTTTTATTCCTAGTCTGAAATTTGGCTTTGATGATCACTTAATTTTGTGTGCAGATTGATTGTTCTCTGGAGAGTGTTGTACAAAAACACTGTATGGTATCAAACACAATTAAGTCGAAGACTTCCTGAAGGTGACCGACAGTTAACTGAAAAGATGACACGGGAAGCATCTACTGTCAAGGCTCTGTTATGTCATATACAGGCTAACCTACAGACTGCTGGAGTTCACTTGAACCAAGCCTTAGAACTTCAGTCTATCCATGGTCAGTAGTTTATAAACATTTTCTAGCTGTGAATAAGCAATATAGTTAACTGGGCTTTGATTTTGTTAATCGGTTGCAATTATTTGTTTTTCAAAATAGTTTCTGGCTGAGCTGTATCCACTAAATTTTAAAATGAAGTAAATTTTTATAAAGTAATATTAACCATGATTGATTGTTGGTTAAAAACTTTGTAGGTGAAGAGTGTTTCCTGTTAGGATCATATGAAAAATCTGTTCAACTGTGGAGGAAAGCTCTGCAAGAAACTCAAGAGAAAGGTAGGAGAGTGTTAAAAAATAATATTTGCCATAATATTGGTAGGAATGTATTTTGGCATGCTGTAGAACTTAAAAATAATTCCAGATTTCTGAGTGCTCACAATTTCTTAATGCTCAAATAGAATACACAATGGTAGGCACCTTGACTATCAGAAATACTTATTTAAAATTATTTTTACTCTTGGAATTTGTAGCACTAAGAATTTTTTCCGTTATCTATAGATAAGGCTCCGTCTGTCATTTTTTTTGGTTGGTGATGGGAGCTGTGACTGATTATGGATGGGGAAAAAATGAGATTTATATCCTAAGTAAAATAATGTTTTGTTTGCCATTTACCACCTTTTTACAGACTTAGAGAAACGTGGAGCTAAGGCTCTCTGCCATTAAGTAATTCGACTTTAAGAATTTCCTGTGAGTTAGACTGATTGTTGGATTAAGTATGGGCTTCATGGAATTTTTGATGAGACTAGAGGAATGTAGATTCTAGAAACTGGTGCTGGCTTTTATGGTATTGAGGGTTTGGCTAGGATGACAAGTTCTCAGCTAGCAACCTTGGAGCTAGCTATGACTATAACTACTACATGGTCGGGTTTGGCCAATTATTAAGCTTATTTTCTGACTGCTTTGCATATTTCATTCATTCCCCTATTTTAACCAGTATTTATCAAGGTCCTGCTATGTCCCTAGTACTATATTAGGCACTAGGAATAACTGAAATAAATAACTTTACCCACAAGTTGTCCACGATGTGGAAAAGAGATTACGTAAAAAACTAGTACTTTTTCATTATGTTGTTTGGTAGATGCTGGGGAAGCACAGAAGAGCACTTTGCGCAATCTGAGGCTGGAGTGTAAGCATTAGTCTGGGGAAAACCTGGAGGAGTTGACACTTAAAATTGAATATAAATTAGCGAGCTAAAATTGTGGTAATGGTTTAACAAAGGAGGTAGCATTATAAAAGCAAAAAGGTGTGAGAAACCATGGCAACTTGGTAAATTGGAAGTTGTTTAATAGGATTAGATTATATGATATATGTATGCAGTATTAGGGGCAGGGTGTGAGAGCTAAGCTGAGAGGTATGTAGGGAATAGATGATAAGGAACATACTGTATGCATTGCAACGGGATTAAGATTTTATCCCGACGAGATTGGGATCAGTTAGATACTTTATGTAGGAAAGAGAACTTTTCAAATGAATATAGGCCATTTGGAAAGATTCTTTTGGTACAGTGTGGAGGGTCATTTGTAGGAATGTGGTGTAGATATGTGGGTTTCACATGGAAGCAGGAAAATTAGTCTGTTGAGTAGGTTCTGAAAGCAATGTCAAGAGTACTGGAGAGCAGAGGTTACACTCCACAGACAATAGTTTTGATCAGTTGGAATTGTGACTGAGTAGATCTGGAGAAAGAAGTCTAATGTAGTTCTCACATTTGGGGATTATTCAACTGGATGAAGAAGTGTGGCATTCAAAGAGATGAGAAGTTCTGATGGAGAAAAGTTTTCATAATGAATTCCATTATGGGGTGCCTGGGTGGCTCAGTTGATTGAGAGACTGCCTTTGGCTCAGGTCATGATCCCAGGGTCCTGGGATTGAGTCCCACATCAGCGGGGAGCCCGCTTCTCCCTCTTCCTCTGCCTGCCACTCTCCCTGCTTGTGCTCTTTCTCTCTCTCTGTCAAATAAATAAAATCTTTAAAAAAATGAATTCCATTATGGACCTTTACATTTCATTTCCAACTGTATCCACTAGGAATGGCTTCTAATAATGGAGACTGAAAGTAATAATGGTTTCAACAAGAAAGAAGTTTATTTCTCTTTCTTACAAAAAGAGACCAGAAGTTGACAATCTGGGGCTGATTTGGTGTTTCCGTGGTCTAATTAAGGACCCATGTCCTTTAGTTTTTCTACTCAGTCGTCCTTAGTGTACTGCTTCCAGTCTTAAGGCCATTACATGAGATAAAACGGGTACTGGAACTCCAACCGTTGCATCCATATTCTAGACAGGAGAAAGGAAGGGAACAGGAAGGGCAAGAAAGGGTGCACCTCCTAGCTGAGTTACCTCCCTTTGAGCAGCTTTTCTGGAAGTTCTTTTTTTTTTTTTAAAGATTTTATTTATTTATTTGACAGAGAGAGACACAGCGAGAGAGGGAACACAAGCAGGGGGAGTGGGAGAGGGAGAAGCAGGCTTCCCGCCGAGCAGGGAGCCCGATGCGGGGCTCGATCCCAGGACCCTGGGATCAAGACCTGAGCCGAAGGCAGACGCTTAACGACTGAGCCACCCAGGCGCCCTGAGCAGCTTTTCTGGAAGTTCTACGTAGTGTTATCTCTTGGTCCAGAACTCAGTCTTTTTTTCATGTGGCCATATCTAAGTGAGAAATTGTGATCTGGGTGCATTATTTATTTTTTTAAAGATTTTTTTTTTATTTTTAAGTAATCTCTACAACCAACGTGGGGCTTGAACCTACAACCCCGAGATTAAGAGTCTCATGTTCCACTGACTGAGCCAGCCAGGCGCCCCTGGGTGCATTGTTAACCCCAAATAAAATTGGAATTCTTTTACTCAGGAAGAATGGATAAGGTATCAGTTCTAAACACTCATCAGATACTTGGATGCAGTGGTCAGGGGCTCCTATCTCGTTGGATAGTGCTTCTCCTTTGGGAAGTCTCTTTGACTGATAAATGTATGGTTTCTTGGGGTTTTCTTTTTTTAGCATGTTTCCTTCTGTTTTATACCAGGTATACTTGAGATAGATGTTGTTAATGGACTTTAGTGCTGAGATGCTAAGGATTTGCAGCTCTCTCGGGATAAAATCTTGAGTCGTCCTAGGGCCTGATGAAAGATAATAAAATAGTTCAGAACTTAAAATGAGAAAGAACAAAGTATTGCTGATCTGTTTTAAGAAAAAAACTTTTATTGAAGTATAAAACAAATACCGAAAAATTCACATAACCTGAGTGTACAGCTTTCATAAACTGAACATTCCTGTCTACCTTGTACCCAGATTGAGAGCATTACCTTGCTGGGGTGCTTGGCTGGCTCAGTTGGAATTGCATGTGACTCTTGATTTTGGAGTTGTGAGTTTGAGCCCGACGTTCAGTGTAGAGATTACTTAAATAAATAAACTTAAAAAAAAAAAATTACCTTGCTAACATGTTTTTAATATAAGCTTAATTCTTTCTTCTTTAAGGAGGAAGAAGAACATGTTTTCTTCAGATACGCTATTATCTTTCTCTTTTATACTGCTACCTCTATAGCTATAATTTAAATGATGCTCAAGGATTGTGTGATCACCTAGTAAGAGAAATTTTGAGGTGGTCCCACCTACCTGTGAAAGAAAATGAGGATTGTTCAGGTATGTATTTTGACCATCAGTATGTTTAATCTCATTAATTTGTATTCATAGGTTTGGATATGAAATTGCTTATACATAAAAGTTGGTTGCTCTGACTAAATTAGGTTATAGTGAATTTTGACCTGTCAGCTTCTCAATAGCAAGGATCATGGGTTTTTCTTTTTTTTCTTTCTTTCTTTATTTATTTGAGAAAGAGCGAATGAGAGAGAGAGAGAGAGCCAGCACAAGCAGGAGGAGGGGCAGAGGGAGAAGGAGAAGCAGACTCCCCACTGAGCAGGGAGCCTGTTGCGGGGCTCAATCCCAGGACCCTGAGATCATGACCTGAGCCAAAAGCAGATACTTAACTGACTGAGCCACCCAGGTGCCCTTGTTTTGTTTTCTTAAATCTTTGGATCTGCAGGGCTTAGCAATAATTGCCTGCTGAACTGACAGAATTGTTTTCTCACAGCCACATTTGTTAGACATAATATCAGGTATCCAAGTATTTATTCTTAATATATTTATATTTTAACTATGGCTTACGGTGGCTTAGTAAAGTGATGAAAATCACTTTCTGAGGTATTCCAACTCTTTTTTTAAAATTCACTTAAGAGGCTGCAGAGTATCTGGATTGCCCTTTTTAAAAGAGGTATATTTAAATTAAACAATAACCAGAGTGAAAGGCATATATGAACACATACCTATATTGTTTATAAGGTAGTAGATCATTAGATGTATACTGTGCATATGAATGTGTCTGAAATGCCCAGTGTATCAGAACTTTCTTTTTTTTTTTTTAAAGATTTTATTTATTTGACAGAGAGAGACACAGCGAGAGAGGGAACACCAGCAGGGGGAGTGGGAGAGGGAGAAGCAGGCTTCCCATGGAGCGGGGAGCCCGATGTGGGGCTCGATCCCAGGACCTGAGCCGAAGGCAGACACTTAACGACTGAGCCACCCAGGCGCCCTCTTTTGTAATCTTTTAAAATTTAACATTTTGATGAATATTTTCCAATGTAAATAATACGCTTTTTTGAAAACCTATTAAACCTTTCCCCCATTGTTGCATATTTTAGTTGTTGCCACCTATTTACTATTTTTTTTTTTATAGTGCTGCAGTTTACATAAACTTTTGTGGGCATTACTAATAATTTCTTTTTTTTTTTAAGATTTTTTTTATTTATTTGACAGAGAGAGAGACAGCAAGAGAGGGAACACAAGCAGGGGGAGTGGGAGAGGGAGAAGGAGGCTTCCTGCCGAGCAGGGAGCCCTATGCGGGGCTCGATCCCAGGACCCTGGAATCATGACCTGAGCCGAAGGCAGACGCTTAAGAACTGAGCCACCCAGGCACCCCTACTAATAATTTCTTTAGGATAAATTTCTACAAATGAGGTTATTGGAGCAAAGAGAATCCATGGCTTTAAGACTGGTATCAGATTGCCCTCCAGGAAGGTCTGCTAGCTGTGTATGAGTGAAAAACTTTTATATGTGACTTTTTAAGTGATTGGATATTCTTCATTGTTTCTCATTGGTGTCACTAACTTTTAAAATAAATTTAACCTGTATAAATATATTTGTTTTAGTTTTTAATGACTATTGTTTAGAATATATTAAGTGTGTCCCTACGGGGTTGGAGGTCCCCAAGACTACCCCTCACCTTCGGTGGTTCACAGGGAGGACACACAGGAACCAGCATATAGTCATACTCAAGGCTGTGATCTATTACAATGAAAGCAAAATTAGCAAAGGGAACAGGTGCATGGGATGAAGTCCAGAGGAAACCAGGCACAAGTTTCTAAGACTCTTTTCCTAGTGGAGTCACACGAGACACATTTAATTCCTCTAGCAGTAGGTTGTGTCAACACATGTGAATATTGTTTACCAAGGAAGCTCACTTATTTTTTTTAAAGATATTATTTATTCATTTGAGAGAGAGTGAGAGAGAATGAGCAGGGAGAGTGGCAGGGGGAGAGGGAGAAGCAGACTCCTTGCTGAGCAGGGAGCCTGATGCGGGGCTCCATCCCAGGACCCTGGGATCATGACCTGAGCCGAAGGCAGACGCTTCACCGACTGAGCCACCCAGGCGCCCCTTAATGTTGACCAATTCTTTTTTTAAAAAAGATTTTATTTATTTGATAGAGAGCAGGAACACAAGCAGGGAGAGTGG